ACCAGCTGCTCCTCAGGAGAAAGATGGAGCTTCCACTCCCATGAACAGTGACAGTCTCAGAAACTCACAGGAGAGTTCTACCCTTCCTATAGGGTCTCTGTGAGTCGGCATCGACTCGATGGCAGCGAAAGATATGCATCTAAGTCAGAAAGTATTGTACAAAATCATGAAACCGTTATTGAATAAAAATATCAACATATAAAGTGATTGTTTTTCAAGTCAGCCTTCATCTTGATCTAGACACTTTTAAAGGATGTATATCCTTATCTCTAGCCCTTCACCAAGGGAGCCCTGGTAGTGTGGTGGCTTATGCCTTGGGCTTCTCATCCCAAGGTCAGCAGTTCAAAACCACCAGCCACTCCACAGGAGAAAGATGAGGCTTTACGCTCCCATACAAATTTGTAGCCTTGGAAACCCAAAGGAGAATTTCTATTTCGTCCTATAGAGAGTGAATTTAGCTTTGGGGTTAACCTTTCTAGAGTTGCAATCTATAGTGAAGTTGTAATCCACACCAACAGATAAACCAGAAAATCCAGCTCACTACCATGGAGTTGATGCTGATGCTGCGTGACTAAAAGGCAGGTAGAACTTGCCGAGACTGCGACACTTGATGGGCGTAAAACGTCTTGTATTTCTCCCAATCGCATTATGATCGAGAAAAGACTAAAATTGTCAAAGTTGCATTTTGCTTGGATTCACAATCAATACCCATGGAAGCATCAGTCAAGAAATTAAGCACTACATTGCATTGGTTAAATCTGCTGCATACGATCTCTTTAACGTGCTCGAAGAGTAAGGATGCCACTTGGAGGATTAAAGTGCCCCTGCCCCAAGCAATGGCATCTTCAACCTCCTTGCATTCAGAGTGGGCCAGTACATAACGAAGACTGCAGAAGAGCTCACGGTGTTGAAGTACGTATTGGGGAAAGAATATCGAAAACACCAGAGACCGCCCAGAAGAACAAACAACCTGTCCTGGAAGGACAGAGTGCTCCTGACTTTGGATGCTATCAGGAAAGACTGGAATCTGTAGAAGGACATGGTGGTCAGTAAAGGACTGGGTCCGGGATAAAAGAGAAAGACCGTCGACGAGATGGTTGGAGACAGTGGCTGCCAAGAGCGAGAGAGAGAAAAGAAACAGTGGCCGCAGCAATCATTGCGAGGATGATGCAGTGTTCCGTCCTTTGGCGCGTAGGATCGCTAGGAGTTAGACTTGCCTGGGCAGCACCACTCCCAACACCTCCTTCCCCTAGAGAACACTGCACCCTCCCAGCTACATCATGCCAAGGAGGCAGTTAGGCATCTTTGAGGGACTCCAATCGTGCTTCTTTTCAATGCCTCTGAACAAAAAGAAGCCTGAATGGGGCAAGATCAGGCCTGTAGGGTGATGGGGTGAGGTTTTCCAAGGAGAAGCTTACACGACAGCCCTTGCTGCCCTCAAAGGATGAATAGGTGCCGATTGGTATGATGGTTAAAAAAACAAAAACCCCTCAGTGCATCTTTCCTGGCCTTTTGCTCCACTAATGCAGTTTTCCGTTTTCTTAAAAGTTCTTTTTCATAACCTCCCGTGATCATCCTGAGCTCTTAGAGGAAATGTACCAAGATGACCCCTTGGAAATCCCCCCAAATACTCACCATAACTTTCTGAATTGACCTCTCGACCTTGAATTTAACTGGCCCAGCGGATCTCCTTGGAAGCCCCTGTTGGGAATAGACCTTGCTATCATTTTTTTTGAAGGCACGCTCAGGAGACCAAGACAAGCCTATTACTGGGAGACCTTATCTGCAGCCATGTGCTGATCACAGAGACGGATGTAAACACAGTTTGCTTGCAATTAGTGTATGCGTGCGCGAACTGGAGCTCTCCCAGCCATCCTTGTTTCACTCGCCCTCTTCTTTGTGGTCAGAAAACTTCCGTTCGGAGCACCGTGGTTTGCAGAGACCATGGATGACAGTGACAGCTCAAAATGCACGTGCAGAATCCCCACATAGATCAGCCTCCATTGTATTCCTTCTATCACTCACCAAGGGTGTACATGCTCTGAGCCTCAGGCCCAGTGCTTTGGAAAGCAGATTACCTCCACCCCTCCCCAGCCGGCCCAGGGAGGAGCAGTCTCTCTGAGGGGCTTTGCTTGGGTGTGTCCTTGATGGATACTACTGGGGGGTCCCACACTCATGAGTCATACCTTATCAGTCATGCCCCAACTGCCTTAATGAGAAGGCCCTGGACCAATCTTTTAGCTCTTCTATATAACATAATGTGTGTGTCCCAATCATGGTTGCGTTCTCGATTCTGCAGCCTCCCTTGTAACTGTGATGTACTGATCTGCCACCCATGGGGACTTTGTCACCGTTTCCTTTGTCCCGTGCCTTATTTGACTAGCACTCTGACTTTGAATCCTTGGACACCATTTTGACCTGGACCTAATGGCCTCCCTCAATCAGACAATGAGTCTGTAGCTTTGTGTTGTCTCGGTCTCTTTGAAAACCTAATACACGTTCTCCTTAAATTATATTAAGCTTGGGGTCTCTGTTGTACCCTAAAACAACAGCACTGTCTTTCGAAAGTAGATGGTATGCGAGTATCCTTTCCTAGGTACCAAACTGAGCTCTGTTCCAGGCATGCAGTCTTGCACCTTGCTTCCCTCGCTGAGCAGAGGATCTTGACATGCGCCAATGTCCGTGTCTAGGTGTAACTCACTCTCTCCAAGTGCAGCAAACCATTTCACTGGGTGGGCCCACCACGGTGAACTAACCGGCCCTCTGTGTAGGAATGGGCATGTAGATGATTTTCTGATGTTGTTTGCTTGATGCTGCACATTTGCTTGATAAACCACATTGCGTGGAGCCTCCATCCTCATGCCAATGTCTTTGTGTGTTTGTGAGTCATGGGATAAATTCCTGGAAAGGGAACTGCTGGCTCAAAAGGAGCCTGCATTTATGCTTTTGATAAACATTGCCAAATTGCCTTCCAAAAAGCCGGTGCCGATTTGCAGCCCTATCAACACATTATAGATCTGTATTTTTTCTAGGCCATTGGCTGGCCCCTTACCTCATCACTTCTCACTCACACACCTGCATTTCTGGCCTCAGGGTCTTTGCCTACCTTGTTCTCACAGCCTGAAAGTTCTTCCCACCTGGTTGGCCAAAGGAAATAGAAACAATCTTGTCAGGCTCAGCTTAGTCTGGATTCAGCCTTCCCTGGCTTCCCTTCCTCTGGGATCTTCCAGCACTTTGGACCTAATTCTATCCCAACACTGGCTGTGGGCCTACTGTGCTTCTGGCATGCAATGCCCATGTTGACAATCCCCACACAACCACACCAAAAAGTGGTCTTGTGTTCCTCGTGCCCTTCCTCTGGCTCTTGGTATACCTTCTGTCTGTTGCTCAGCCCAGTGCTGGGAGCCCCGGTGGTGCAGTGAGTTCCAAGTTGGGCTGCTAACTGCAGGTTCAGCAGTCAAAACTATCAGCCAGCTCCACAGGAGAAAAATGAGGCTCTCTTCTCCCATAAAAATTACAGTCTCAGTCTCAGAAATCCACAGGCCAGTTCTACTCTGTCCTATAGGCTTGCTATGAGTCAGAATCAACTCAATGGCAGTAGAGTTTGGTTTGGAAAGGTCCCCAGTCTGGGAAAGTGGGTGGAGTCGTTCTATGCTGTCCCGAGGGTCGCTCTGAATCAGGATCCACCCCATGGCAGTGCGCTTAGGTTAGGTCCAGGGCAGTGCTGCCTCAGGACCTTGGCAGTTCCCTCTCTGCCATCTGACCTCTCAAACCCACCTTTCAAAGAGGCCTGCCCAGGCCCCTCTATGTCAGCACCCCTTTTCTCTCCATTATAGCTTAACAACCCTTCTCCCACGCAGCTGAAGCGCCCTGGTTGTACATCGTAATGTTGACATGTTCATTTTTCTATCCTCCCTCCTAAATCAGTAGCGGCCTTGTTTGTCACTTCAAGTGTCGCCTGTCTTGAACCTACCTGGCTCCTGTGTCCGCGCTCAATAAACCTTTGTAGGGTGGTCACCTGTATTTTACAGACCATGAAATGGGTCCCGTGTTACCACCGTTCGTAAAAAAAGCACAGCTGGGATTCGAACCACAGATTCCAGAGGCAATTGCATCATTTCTTCCCGATTTCTCTCCAAAGGAGGCTCTTGGTGGGGCAGGGCACAAGACTGACGCCCCGGGGTCCCCAGCGACGCGTCGGGAGGCGGGCCCCAGGAGGCTCTCGGCATCCGCGGAGTTGTCGCCCTCCCCGCCCCCTGTCAGTCAGGCCGAGGGGGCGGCGCGGCCGCCAGTGGGGACGCTGAGCTCAGAGCTGCCGCAGCGCGCGAGCCCGAGCCGG